TTGAAGTCTATTTCACAGGTCCCCCTCAACACTGCAGTCTCCTTCGTAGGATAGTCCTAGAGGGCCTATTGTCCAGTGCTGAAGTACTGGGATATGATGAGAAGTCCTTGAATATATCTGCTCTTGTTTGGTGTAGTCGCAAGCATATTTCATCAGTCAATGATGATGAGCCTCATCTGATTACCATCTCTGACAAGACAAGTCCACCAGCCATTGGTTGCAGTAAGGAGAGTGGACTACCAACTGTTACATTGAATGATATTAGTGAGAAAAAGAGTTACTGGCTAAAAGGTAAAGAACATTGAACAATCGTTCACTTAAATTATCTCTATTTTTATAACAGACCTTTGTAATTTATCAGTTCTAACATCTAATTTATTGCCTGATGTACTTGGTAAGCTATCTTATTTTCTTGTTAACTCTTGTATGTATAATTTATTGACAGATCAAAGGCATGCTTCTGTTATACTAAGAGCAATAAAAGATCTTGTGGTTGAACTGGAAGAGTTTGGTATCCATCTTGGACTAAGCAATGCTGATATTCAGGAGATAAAGGTCAATGCTCCTTATGAAATCCGGACAAGACGTAAAGATATCATCATTGCCTGGTTAGAGACAGGTACTGCTACTCGTAGTGCACTCATCTCAGCACTGGAAGATGTTGAAAGGTTTGACATTGCAACTAAAGTAAAAGGATTACCAACTGTTCGACTATGAATCTATTTGCAAAGTTGTACTAACTGTTTGAGCTATGAGTCTATTTTTTTATTTTAATTTTTTACTGCTTTTAAAATATTGATATCGTTATTTTAATCATTCTTTTTTTGCCACATAGCATTGGATCATAAAGCATTGAGCATAATGTACTATTATTCCTGTCATAACAGAAAGTGTTATAGGTTACTTAGCTTTGTTTTTTAAACATAACTATAAAGTCAAATTCTCTGTGCCACCAATTTAGCTGGCTTGAACTGCTTTTTTTACCTAAAAAACAAAACCCATCCCTTTGCATTAAAAATCCTTAATGAAAAAAGACGCTCTAAAGATAAACTATTGGGACAGTCTTGATGTCAATATATAGTTCTAGTGACATTGCATGGCTTCTTATTTATTGGACTGTATTAACATGTATAGGCTTAGTACATGTACATGTAAGTCACATGTGCCTACTGTAATGTTTAAGCAAATTGCGGTTTCAAATTATTGAGTCAATTAATATGACATTGTAAACTTTTAATGAAGTTAGTGGTCTCGGTATATGTTTTAAAATGTTCATGACCGAGACTTAAAATTTTCAAAGGAAATGATAAAATGTGTTTGTGGAGGGGGAAACACACACCACAGCTAAAGTTTTAATAGTAAATGATTAAATTTAAGAAGCAAAGATGACTACAAAAAGAAGCTCCACCATTGGCAGGAGCTTTCCAACATCAATTGAAGGAGTGAGACTTCTAACACTAGCAATAGAAGTAGGAAAAAAGGATTTCATTTTTGTTCTTGTTTTACTGTTATAATTTTTATTTTTTATTAGATTATTAATCTTATACTAATTTATAATATTATAAATTAGTATAAGATAGGAAATGTAGTAAAGATTAATAATACTATCATACGATAGTATTATTAATCTTTACTACATTTCCTATTATTAATTTTGTAGCTTTTGCTCATTGCCCTCCTCCAATGATACCAACTGAGTCAATGGGAGAAAGCGACGGCGAAGACATTTATGACGACACAGCTGCAGTAATGTATGTTTTAAAAAATAAACAAGCCACCACAGATGAGCATACAATGCACTACTAACATTAGGCTGGGTTTGTTAGGATTTGTAGGCTGTGATTGTTATTTATAAACTTTGATCGTTATGCTTATAAATATACCTTAGATTTACAGTCAACAAGCAGCTCTTGTGTAACATATTGTAATAAATGCTTATACAATGTACACGTACATGATTACTGTGTGTAGTTTTTTCTATGCCTAATACACACTGTACAATATTCACTTTTTATGTGTATTCAGTTTGGTGTGGTATGTGCAGTGATGCCACAATATTGAGTTATTTGTTAACAGTAGGTTTTCAGTGGGAGCAGGTAAATTGAGACATAACATGATTTTTATTGACATCAAAAATACCTTGTAGGACAAATTTGAGCTTCATAATGTGTACATATACATATACATGTATGTACATGTAGTGATTATGTATTAATTTATTATTATTATTTAGTGATACAATAGCTCCAGAGGAAGAAGAG